AAGACTATAATAGAATCCAATTAAACATAATACATAGCATTTGATGTCATTTATGTTTCATTCATAACATTAGAAATGTGTTAAGAAATATGAAAAGTGTTGAGACAATTGGCCATCACTTGAAACGATCGTAAATCCATTTCCCGAATCTCACGGCAAAAAAGGATGTCCTCCTTATGAGATCAAAGTCAACGGACACAACGGCGCACACGTCCTCCCAGTGCCCGCATCCCCGGCCTATCTCTCGCCAACTCTTTGCCACCACTATAGCCGTTAGTCTGAGTTCTGGCCGACACAGGGCTTGCCATTAGTCATGTGTATTGTCCGCACATTTGGTTTGCTGTCATTCAGTTAAATATGAGTTTAAGTATTAAACTTATAATAAAATATTTCTCAACTTAAAAATAAAGACATTAAATGCAATTCATTTAATTAAATAATAGCTATTTTCAAAAATACTGCTTTTCATAGAAATTATTAGAAAATTCTGAATATAACTACTTTTAATCATTTATATCATAGATATAGTCAAGTGATGCCATACATAGATATCGACCACTTGGCCATACATTTAGCGATCGGGTGACTTACAGTCGAAACACTTATTATTTGTTCACTTAGATAGTAAACCATTGTTTGCCACTAATTGTAATGAATTAATAATTTAATAAAATGCAAATCAAAATATAATTTATTTGTTATATGTTTCAAACAATTTTATATTCTACTCATTACAGTATGAAAATACAAATGAGTTTTAACTCATATTAATATAATTATGCATTTTATTAGTCATTAGTTTAAAGACAATCATAAATCAATTTCCCGATTGGTAGGACACCTATGATTTGGCGTTTGTGTCGCCAAAGCCATCCCAACCCCGCGCGCACTCGAGTCCACATCCTGGCCCAACATCCCTGTCCATCGCCTGCTAACTGTTGGCCACCATATGGGACAAACTCATCGATCGGGAGGACAACTTCATTGTCTCGACTGTTGGCACCATTGGCTGAGATTGTGTTGAGGGCACCGCCTATTATACAGTAATCATATAAATACAGTATTATTAAAACTTTTTGCTATTAAATTAAATGTAATCATAAAAGTTTTAGCTTAACAAATTGTAGTTCAATTAATTATTCATTACATTATATAATATTACAAATATTTTGATAAAACTATTATTTTTCATAAATTATTTCAAAATTCTTAATACAAAACTAAATAAAGTTATTAAACTTGAAGAATATCTCACCTTGTTGCATTTGAGACATTATGGTCAACAGTTAAAACAATTATACAATCAATTCAATCGCTTATTAATCACACAAATTGTGTTAATCTTATGACTTGTGACTCAAAATGTGTAATGAGTTGTAAGTGTGTGTCGTGTCAGCAATGATGGCACCGGCGGTCCGTTTCTAGCCATCGGTCTCTTTGGTTGTATCCGTCGGTCTCTTTTAAGGCTTTCAAAACTTACGGTTAAGGCTATCATTCAATCGCATTGGATATCATTATATAACTGTAATACTGTCGGTCTGTTTTGGGATACAATTCACACCACATATAGTGTGCCTCAGAGAAAGTGGTTTAAAGTTTACTTAATTTACATATTAATTAATATTTTTTTTGAGAATTTAATTATTTTGCATTAATTGGACATTTAGATTGTGTTCACATTTTACCAAAAGTTGTATACAAATGATTGTAAATGTTTATCAAAAAAGACCACATATTTGAGTGTTTCATTGCAATAGACTTTGCATTCATTTTCACACTCAATGAGACCTTACAGTTCGTTACAGTTCCGTACAATTCATCGTAATATGACTTTCAATGAGACTCTCATTAAACTCAAAGAATTTGTTGAGAAAATCAAATCAAATACAGACAATCAAATCGATGACAAATACAGTATATATTTGACATTATATTTAATTTTTTAATTGGATTACTGTTTAACTATATATTTAATACAATGTAAAGAAGTTTCACTTTATTTACCGTAATTCAGTAGAAAATTATTTAAATTAATATCATTTAATGAAATTAAAATTAAAGTCAAACACAGAAATCAAATACAAAACATAATTTATATAAAAATAACAAAACAAATGATAATTATAGATAAATAAAAAATTTATAAAACTTAATGAATGACAACACTCTATTAGTCTATGACAGGTATGTATAGATTGTATAATAATGTTCTTTATAAATACAATTTGTAAAATACTTTATTTATAGCCTTGGTCATTCCAATTGAGATGCATTTTGCGAGTCGACATGCTTTACAAAAAGGTTTGTCTTTCACATACTTTACAACACATTTGCCTTTATATTTGCCTTTGCCTTTGCACTGCCATTTCTTTTTACAAGCATTTAAATCATAATTTATATACATTTGCAGTCATTAATCAATATAAATATAATATTCAACTAATTCTCTCTCTCTCTCTCTCTCTCTTACATCTCTTGTTTTGTGGTCCTTCCCAAAGAAGTTATGGCATGCATTACAACTACATCCACCACCATAAAAGTTACCTGGGTATATAAATAATGAACAATAATTAATGAACAAAATGCATACTCTATGTGATAATAAACTGTATTTACAAAATGCTTTATTAGAATCTTTCTCTTCTTCCTTTTTCTCACAAACTCCACATATTTTCAACACATTCTCCTTCTCCTTATCATTGGGTCCTTTAACACTGTCTTTTGACGCGTTTTCACTCATTATTATAATATCTATTGAATGTATAATTACACAAAACAATAGTTATGTATAAAACTTTATAATTGGGCATTTATCAAGGCACTAATTACAGTATATCAACGTGTGATATACAGTATCACATAATAAAAGTATCAATGCATACAATAGTCGTAGTATTCACACCTATAGTGAATGAAACCCATAGACAGGTCTTAAATGCAATTGATTTAGTCATACAAACACTCAGACATTGGTTTTCATAGTTTTAATGCATATTGTGATGCAATCAACACGTAATCTAATGGAGATTCCGCTGTATTTTAGTGAACATAGTGTCGGACACAGGGTTTAAATACAGAATGTCTGCCATCAGAATATTTTAATGAAATACAATATATCGGAATATATCCGCGGACTGGCCTCCCGGTGCTGAACCCAATCTCGGTATTGCTGTCAATATTACTGTTACGATGCAAATGGTGCCATTCAGTATATGCGATGCAAATTAAAATTAAATTCATTGCCAAACTTTTTTTGAATACTTTTTATAGTATGTGTGAGGAGAGAGAGAGAGAGAGAGAGAGAGAGAGAGAGTTTGCGTTAAATTCATTCATAAATAATATTTACTATAATTTAATTATACTAATGATATAATAGTGAACTTCAATTCATTCAATGATAAGAATAAAGTTTATTTAAGTTTATAACAATTCAATAGTAGATTATATTCAACACACATATAGCCACTAATCTAATCATTTGAAACAAACTTATAAAATATAAGATTATATAATAAAATCCAATTAAACATAAAACAGTATTTGATGTCATTTATGTGAAATACGTTTAACTCATAACATTAGAAATATATTAAGAAATATGAATAAGTGTTGAAACAATCGTAAATCCATTTCCCGAATCTGATTACAAAAAAGATGTCCTCCTTATGAGCCCAAAGCCAACGGACATAACGGCGCACACGTCCTCCCAGTGCCCGCATCCCTGACCCAAAGTCCTCATAATCTATGGCCAACTGTTGGCCACGACTTTCCTCATCAATCTGTACCACGAATTCAATGTATGGACCGATGGTCTGAACGCTGGCCGACACAGGACTTGCATTTCTCGCACCTATTAGTCAATAGAAATATATTTATTACACATTTTGTTTCCTATCATTCAGTCAAATATGAGTTTAATTTATAATTATAATAATTAAAACTTGTAATAAAATACGGACATACTGTACTATGTATTACTAAATTAAAACAATCAAACTCAATTAATTTAACTTAGAAATAATTATTTTAATAAAACGAAATGTTTTTATTGAAATTGTTTTAAAATTCATAATACAAAACTAAATAAAGTTATTAAACTTGAAGAATATCTCACCTTGTTGCAGTTGAGACATTATAGCCAACAATTAAATCAATTAACAATCAATTCAATCACTTATTTATCGCACAAATTGTGTTAATCTTATGAATTGATACGCAAAATGTGAAATGAGTTGTAAGTGTGTGTCGTGTCTGCAATGGTGGCATCGGTGGTCCGTTTTTAGCCATCGGTCTCTTTGGGTTATCTGTCGGTCTCTTTTCAAGTGTTTATGTTGTGGTTTAGACCCAAAGAAATTGAAAACTTATTTTAATATACTTTTTATGCTGAAAACGAAATTGAAGTTTAAATATAAGTTTATATGAATCCGTTGTCCATATATTCGGTCTTAAAGTCGAATCCATGGCATAAACCACAACATAACCTAACCTTCAAAACTCGCGGTTAAGGCTATCACTCATATTGATATTGGCTATCAGTATATAGTATATATATATAGTATATATATACTGTAACTATAATACTGTCGGTCTGTTTTGGGATACAATTCATACCACATATAGTGTGCTTAGAGTTAATGGTTTAGAGTTTACTTAATTTACATATTAATTAATATTTTGTCGACAATTTAAGGTATTTTGCATTAATTGAACATTTAAATTGTGTTCACATTATACCAAAAGTTATATAAAAATGATTGCAAATATATATAAAAAGACCACATATTTGAGTGTTTTATTGCAATAGACTTTGCATTCATTTTCACATTCAATGAGACCTTACAGTGCGTTACAGTTCCTTACAGTTCATCAGAATATGACTTTCAATGAGACTCTCATTAAACTCAAAGAATTTGTTGAGAAAATCAAATCAAATTCAGACAATCAAATCGATGGCAAGTATTTGCTGTCAAAGTATTTGTGTTTAAACTTATAGCTTAAAATTAAACCTTAAACTTAACTAATAATACAATTAATTAACTTTTATTATGTTAATAATCAACAGAATATTTATTATTTTAATTGCAACGTCAATATAAATTATACAATTAGTGAACAATATTTTATTTTCAAAATAATAGACATTTTATTTATAATTAAAATACATTATTACATTATATATAAATCATAGTACTGTTTAATAATACTAATCGTTGATTAACAAATAAAAAATAATTAAAAATTAATTTATTTAAAATCAAATCAAACTAAAATGGGATAAAAATAACAAAACAATTTTAAACTATCAAATAGTAATTAAAAATAAATAAAACAAAATAAGTTAAGAATAATTAAAATACTGTAACAATTCATATACAGCGGTGTTGTGGGTGTTGTTTTGTATCGACCTTTGCTGTGAGTCGATACAAGCAGGGAAACCCAGGTCAACTCAACAGGCATCATCAGGGCCATTTGACACCAGTTCACTGTTTCTCTGGTAAACTGCATGCACTGTGTTATAGAAGGCGTAGAAATAAACGTTTCGTAATCCGAGCCCCGGATGCAAAGTCAGACCACAATATACGCGCGAATAGATGAGTACCGGTGCCACTCATCCATTACACCACAGTCCAGCCCGTAATACCTAGTTTTCAGAAACAAATGACAATATTTGTGATACCAATGAATTAAGTGTATATTAAGACGATTCAGCTTACATTGAAATCATGACTACAGGCGCCCATTAGTGCGCCGAATATTATACATATCCAGCGCCGACACTCGGAATCCAGAGTTACATTGGTTGAGATCGATGTACTCCATGACCTCGTCGTAGATGTCCTCCAATTGATAGCTCATACGGGCGTCGAGGCCGACATCGAAGACACAATGATTGGAGTGTCCGTCCCATCGGAAGCACTCGACTCGCATACGTCGGGCCACTCGGCCGTTGGTCCGCAACTCAGCGTTCAATTTGTCGACAAACGCTTTGCACACTTGTCTCACGTCGTCCGAGAGGTCCGTCGAGTCCATCGCTTTCGGGTAATAACTCTTCATCTTTGCAATCTGTTTGGCGCCCACAAAGTGGATAACGGGCCGGCAGTCTATACCCCACGCCCTCTGCCACGCCTGACCCCCATCAGCGCCGTATCGATTAGTCAATGATAACAGACAGTATTCTCGGAGGTCTATCAGATTAGACACATTGAGCTCTTGTAGTATGCGTTGACCCAACTTTCCTCTGAGCCCTTCGACCGAATCGATGGGCGTAGTCTCGAAGACTCTGGCGATTCCCGATTTGCTCATCAAAACAGTCATCGAATTGGGTTTGTTGTGATTGCAAGCGATCTTCGCTAAGAACTTGTTATAACTGATTCCCGCCGAACACTTCAGACCAGTGGTCGCCTCAAACTCTTGGCGTATCTTTGAGACAATGAGCACCGCCTTAGCGAACGGCGACCACTGATGCCACCGTTCAGTGCCATAAACGTACTGTCCGTTTGATGTCTCGACAAGAGCTCCGATGGCTTGGAGTTGCTTCCAGTCGTGATAGCGGTTCCCATTTGGATAGCACTCGGCAGTCAAGTCGATGCACAGCTCGTCCGTCCCATTGGGCTCTACAGGCGATCCATTGACATATCGGTTGACCACATCTCGCAACTGATCCGACTTCTGCTCGTATATCTGGAGGGGAAGTGTGGTTACGTCCCGGAGCTCTAACTCCGGACACACTTCGAGGGCATCCCTTACGCGTTGCCGCTGATAAACACCAGACCTCTTGGCCTCTCTGTTGGCCGAACTGATAACCCCTTTGTTTCGTGTGGCGCAGGGATGGCTTGATATGAACTCCCAGTCCTGGAAAGCCAACTGCACTCCAAAACAGTCGATGTCTATGTTGGCCACCACTCGACTCGTGTCCAACTCGTAGTCAGCAATGGTATGCATGATATGCAGAGGTTATGTCCACGCGAATAGCCTATTGGATGTGTTGTTAGTGATCTAGTATTGGCTTAAGATTCTTATTCTTACCTCAAGAATATTCTATGTAATGATATATCAGCAATGGTATGCATGATATGCAGAGGTTATGTCCACGCGAATAGCCTATTGGATGTGTTGTTAGTGATCTAGTATTGGCTTAAGATTCTTATTCTTACCTCAAGAATATTCTATGTAATGATATTGTAGTGATTAAAAATAAAGACTTTGTGTTGACTACTAGAAAATATATTTGATTTAAACATATCAGGAGATGTGTAATACAGAAGTGAGTCTCGATTGTGAGACACTCACTTATATAATATGTATTAGTATTACAATAATGACTGTAAGGATATGCAAACAGTCCTTGTATTTAGTTCTCAATTACATTATAAACTTTTCATAACTTTTGGTATACAAAATCATTTGATTTAAACTTCAAACTTATAAACATTATGCTATGAAACATTATGTAATCAAATAGATACTGCAATATGTCACACGAATTGGCGCCACTCTTGATATCAAATACGAGACTAGTATATGATATTTATGTATGACTGGAATGTGTTATCTATTTGTGATCTAATCCATGGCACTAATGATGACTAAAATGTCCAAACATTGAATCCAATGAATGGACACAAACCGTTGTCAAACACCAGCTCTGAATAGCCCTTTAAATTCATTCATACAATGCGTTCATAGGCTATGTTGCAGTGCATGAATGGGTGTGTAATACACGTGTAGTACTCATCAATAGATTAACACTAATTTAGTGAATAGAGGGCTGAAAGGGGCGGCGAATGCCACACATGTCTGTCACGTATTTGTTGTATGCCTTCATTCATACAGTTTGTTGACAAACACAACATCTGTTTACTATTGACTGCTCACTGAGTAATGCATTCATTGATTGATTCATTGAGTGAATGGATAGTTGGATGAGATTCTCGTGAATTCCATGTCTTCACGACTCTCATGAGTGAAACCCAATTGAGTTGAATGTGCGGTCAATTGGCGGCCAAATAATGTCTCATTTGATTGATTATCATATCCCGGAAGCCATTCGTATAGAAGTACTCAAAGTGCGTATTATTTGCCATCAATTGTCTTCATTATCACCTCTTGTGGTGCGAAAGTGTGTCACTCGCTGTCTGTCATCGTAACCACAATCGCAGTATATCTGCGCCAATGGTCTAAAAGACAGTGATTTATGTATTAATCACTTCATTGTAGAGTTAGTACAGGAATGCAGTGCAGAGGTGGGGGAGGGGGTGGGGGTGTGGGGCATGAATTGGCAGTGAATGACATACTGTGCACCGGATTGTGACCACAATTGACACGATATATGATATACTCAATGACTGTACGCCTGGTGTATGACTACAGGCTGAGCAGAGCAGTGGTGGGGGCGCTGGATGTGGTGGAAGTGGTGGCTCACGGGTGCAGAGGTTTCGCGTGAACCCATCGATGACAGCGTTGCCGGCGTTGCACTCATTGGTGGTGCGGGCCTTCAATCTGAACGGGTATTGCACGGAATGGCAGGCATTGTCTCCCTCCGAGTCTTAACCGCCAATCGTTTTGTCATTTGCAGCGACTTTGCGTTGAGTTATCTGCGGAGAGACTCATACGAGTGGTGCGCCATCGGGTCGGACAGGGATCTCGAGGACGCCTATGGGCACAGTTCGCAGCCCTCGCTGCAGATACGCCTTCAGGTGGACGACCACACGGACCACAAGAGTCACTCACTGGCCGATTGGGACATCATCACCAACTCGGATGTGGTGCGCAGCCAATGCACGTCCATCGCTGTGTCGCTCATAAACCAGGTCTTCATATCAGCCGCATGTCGTCGGCGCACGAGTTGTGCACATATTTCATGAGAAAAAACTTATATTTTCTTATATCGAAAGGTCGAGAAACTGATGACCAGAGCGTCGGACAGCGCTAAACCGAAACCGACGGCCGACTCGGCGGCCATTCCTCTCAACGACAATGAGTTTCGGAAGTGTTTGGACGCCGAGGGCCGCGTCAAGTGTGGCCGCGAGTTGCGGATCGGTGTCTACCGGCGCGGCGTTGAGCCCAGCCTACGGAAAGTCGTGTGGAAGCATCTGCTGAATGTCTATCCGCACGGACTGACTGCCCAACAGAGGATTGATTTCATGAAACTGAAGTGCGAAACCTATTGCCAAATGCGGAACTTATGGCAATCCAACCAAACGGATCCCACTGTCGAGCAAACGCTGCATACGGTTAGCCAAACATTTGTCATGTAATGCCATAAGTCGAGCGCTGAATGAGTTTGTTTTGCGCGGAACGGCAGGTCAGGAAAGACGTGTTGCGAACGGATCGCTACCATCACTACTACTCCGGCGACAGCGACGACGACGACAACGAGAACGTGACCGCTCTTCTCAATGTACTCACCACTTATGCGCTCAACCATAAGGACAGGTATTGTCAAGGGATGAGCGATTTGGCGTCTCCTCTGCTGTACGCCATGAAAGGTACGGAATATATGCCACCAATGGAGTGGTCATGTGATGACTAGACACGCGGCATAACTTTGATGGCATGCCTTTACAGATGAATCGCACGCCTATATCTGTTTCTGCGCACTGATGGCCAGATTGTGCGATAACTTCAACTCCAACGGCGAAGTCATGTCTCGAAAGTTTGCACATTTGTCACAACTTCTGCAGTACTACGACCCGGAGTTCTACGCATACCTGTGCGGCCAGGAGTGTCATGAACTGCTCTTCTGTTA